GGCAGGGAGCCCCAGCGGGCGGCTCCGTGGCGGGAGCTCCGTCTGTCAGCCGTGCCTTAGTTCCCATTAACGCGCTAGTATTGCTCCGGGCTGAGCAACTGGGAATGGCGTGTAACGTAAGCCCAGGGCGAGCCCGGCTTCCTCAGCCGAAGCCACACACGGACCTCTTCGGGGCGGTGCGTTCATGGTGACTGTGTCCGATATCGCCCAGTTCACAGGCTCTGCCTTCGGATCCGCCGCCATCTGGCAGTATGAGTCGCTCAAGTCGCGGGTCCAGACCTACTTCGAGGAAGCTCGAGCAGACTGGTTGGATAAAATACGGCCGCAGAAGAGGGGGGACTTCAGAAAGCAGGTACACGGAGCCAGGCCCGGCCTGTGCGCACACGGGTGGGTCCCCGCAGAAGCGTAAAACGTGACCGTGTCTTTCCTCTGGTGTAGGCCACTCTGTGAGCACCATTTGTACAACAGATACTTGTCCAGTTTATCCTGATTTTTAACTTGGAGAAACAATAGGTTCTCAGCAAATTACAGTAGACATATTTCCTTACAAGAAAAACTGATAGAGTTATTTCTAGAAAACTGGTACTCACAATATCACTGCAAAAGCTATACTGGAGAAAAATACCATCTTCACCCTGAAATGCAGGGAAGAGAGGTCAGTAGTAGTAGTTTGTATATCTAAACTAGGTACCTTTTTCTTTTTCCACTGTAAAAAAAAATTCTATTCTTGCTATGTCTAAGTGTTCTCAAAAGTGAACATGAACTCTGAAAGAGGACAGAGCTAGCTTAAATTCTGAACCTTAAGCATAAAATTTTTTAATGCTCTGGCTCCTGAAACGCATTCGTATTTTCAACCTGTATTTCACAAGTATGAGGGTTTAGAGGGCTTTTTTTCTTTGAGAGCTGACATTTCCATGCAAATATTTTGGAGTTTGGGCAGTAAGAACAATGTAAGTACTGCAAAACTTGTAATAAATTTAGCTGACATCCCGAAAGTGTCAGTCATTTTGTTTTCAGTTAAGTGTATTTTAAACTAAACTAAACATGCATGTATGTTTTACGTTTGTTTCAAGGTTACCACTGTGGCTTGTGATAGACCAGGCTTGATTACTCTTTCAGGTCTGCTTGTCCAAGGGAAATAGGGTTGAATGTGGAGCTGGAGAAGCACAGGGTCCTGGGTAGGACACAGAGGAGCTGTTTTTGTAATGTGTATTGTGTGCACTGTGGTACTTCTTTCAAAATGGGCATGTGTTGTGGGTTAACCTTGGTGGGCAGCTGAGCACCACACAGCAGCTCGCTCACTTCCCCCACAAACCCCCAGTGGGATGGGGGAAGAGGAAAGGAAGAATAAAAGCAAGAAAACTTGGGGGTAAAGATAAAACAACAACCAAAAAACATTTAGTAAGTGAAGGATAAGTGGGAGAAGAGAGAAAAAACCAAAACAAGTGATGCAAAGGCAATCACTCACCATCTCCTGTGGGTAGACCAATGCCCAGCCAGTTCATGAGCAAAAGATGGCTAAACCTCCTAAAATCCCCTCTTTTCCCTTTTATTGCTGAGCATGACATTACATGGTCGGGAATATCTCTGGTTAGTTTGGGTCATCTGCCCAGTTGTGTCCCCTCACAGCCTATTGCACACCCCCAGTCTATTCACTGCAGGGGCGGATGATGTGCAAGGTCTTGATGCTGTGCAAACACTGTTCAGCAAAAACTAGAACATTAGTGTGTTATCAGTACTACTTTGGTCAAAAATCTAAAACACAGCACTTAACGTACAAGCTGCTGTAAAGAAAATTAACTCTACCCTAGCCAGGCCCAGTACAGCATGCTTTCTTGCTCGGTGTATATGAACTGCGGGTGAGATTATGATTGCCACTTAATATTTTAAATAATTTTGGTTTTATACTTTTGTTTTCCTTCAAAACCTGAAGGGGAAGATCTGGTGATTAGCTATCCAAAAAATAAAACAAAACTGCCCTCTTGTTAATAGGCTTAAACTCCCAATCCCCATCTTAACTGTTAAGTTCTATTTTTAAAAGTTCAGGATCCCTCAATAGCTTCTGAGGGCATCTACTTCTTGTATTTTAGAAAAATCATGTTTGTTTAGTGTTCTTATACTGGAGAACTTTGTAGGAAATACTGGTATCTATATCCTGTGCAAGAGAATGAAACAGAAAAATGCAATGAAGTTGTTACTTTGATATCAAATAGTGAATGATTTGTTTCATACGGCATTACTTCCTCCCCGCCTCCAACCTACAGATAATTTTTATGACATTGATGGGGACAATATGGTTGGAAGGTTATTGAGCTATCAATAAAATATTTGTCCAAAATGATTCTGAAAGCTGAGGAAGGGAAAGGGGGGTGGAATTTGTCTGTGGGCTGACTGCGCTCAAAATAAACTTTTTCAGGGGTTTTAAACTTGGAGGAGGGCTGGGTGAGCTGGACGCAAGGGGGAATGGATTCCACATCTTGTGAGCCACCTCTGCAAAAGTGACCCTGGCACAAAAGTGGAATCTCTCAAAGGTGGGTGGTGTGATGTTAGACAGCATTAGGGTGAGGCTTAGTCAAGGCAGGGTTTATGCTAACTTTGGCCAATCTGCTAAAGTAAGCATTATGGGCTAGATCCTTGTTTAGTACAAGCAGAGATAAACCCATGGAGTTGTGTAAAAGGATATAACCCCATTATTTTTGAAGAAACTCTTCATCTATGTTGGGGTATTTTATGAAAAGGAGGGTAGATAACTATTCTTGAGTAAGGAAATGCCAACCTGAAAAGCTAAACCAATCAGAAATAAAAGTTTTTGAAACCGATTTACTTAACATATTTCAAACAAATGCTTTCCATTCTTAAAAAGGTAGAACCTTGTGTGACTGTTTTTGAAATTGCAAATACTCTACGGTGGCACTGATGTACAACAATTCCGTTCCAGGTTAACAGCTGGTGGAATAACCTGACTGAGGGTCAGCGGGCTGTGACAGGTTTGTGTTAGCTTACAAGTATTAGACATTCACAGGAAGAGAAATATGGCAAACAGGTACAGTATGTTAAAACAGATGGCTTTCATACCATGTTTAGGTTGTTAGGCACAAAGCATGTGTAAACTTACACCTGCACACATATACTATTTCTGCTACACTTCCTTCTCACAAACTATTTTTTGTATGCATTGAAAAAATTCCTATGCATCTGCGTGAGAGAGCATGGAAGATTAGCTAGAATTTTTCTCAGGAACTGTGAAAAACAGCAAATGCTTTTAGAAGGAATATGAGTATATATTCCACTGATATGTGGAAATAAAACTCCCTGATAATTTTTTGCTATTTTACGTACATAGTGTTGCAAACAAGAAGCAACTATCTTGTGAGCTTTCCCTTGGTTATGATATAGTTTTGATTGGTTAGCCTAACATCACTTGAAACCTCCAAGATAAATCTAACGTGTGGAGAGAAATTGATAAGAACTTGATTAAAATCTAAATAAAGTAGTTAAGCCATATCTGCTCTTATATATTCTACATGCTAACAAGTCCTGTCAAGAGGTTTTGTACAACACTATGAATTGCTCTTCAACATGCAAGCTAAGTCACCATACAGACAGAAATATTGTACTGGGGCGGGAGGGGAGTGGGGGTGAAGATTCATGTTCTATAGGCCCTAGAGCATCCCTCAATATTGAGTTAATCTAACAATCAATATAAATTCTAGCTGGTAGACCCTGAGCCATTCAGATACTTAACGCTAATTGCCCTAACAAGGTTGGGCTTACTGTACTGAAATTCCTGAGAGTTCTGTAACATCTTGGTGTAGCATGCAGGGAAAATATTTCCTCTAATAAAAGAGCATGGTGGAATAGGATAGAGTGCCAAAAGAAGAAACCTATTAAAATTTTGGTTCTGGGATTTATGTGTCATAGTTTTTCACAGTTCTTACATTTTGTTGCAAACTTCAAATAGAGAATAATTATGTGACATTTACCATTCCGTAAAGGAAGCACAACTATTTTCCCCTTTAATGTTTCTAGCTGTTATAAGTAAATGCTTGGATAGAAATAGAAAAGGCAGTTTAAACAAGAAACAATAACTTTGCACCATTATGTTTCTAATTACATTCTTATTTAAACTGAAATAAGATTGCAACAAACTGTGAAGTAAAAAGCTGTGCGTTTGCTGTCTCCGAAAGGTAACTATACCTTAGCAATGCCAACTCAACTTTTTATGCTCAGTCTGTAAACAGTATCTTTACAACTACCTCAAAACCAAACCTCCCCAGAAAATGGAAGTGATGTGTACTGCATGTCTGTATGCTTCCCCTAGCCTCCCTGCGCAGTTAAACGTAACTGTGCAGCAGATTGGTGGCAGTTGGGAATAAGCAGCTAGAGAGACAAGAAGTGAGACCTCAAGCTGGCTCTTGTTTCATTGGTTCTACAGTGGAATAGAAGTTTGAAACCATAGCTTGAATGTCTTGAGTACAGATTTTCTGGATTGTTGCATGCATTCATTCATTACATCGTACATTAAAACAGTTGCAATTAAATGTCATATTTCTGAAAGGCTTCTACTATATAAATATAGCTTTCAATATTTTTCTTTGCTTTTTCTAAACTCTTTCTAGAAGTGGATACTGCTTTTAATGAAATAGTGAAGAAAAAGTATGTTTCTTGTAAGCTTACTTTTGAATGCTTGTTTACAGTAAGCATTATGGCGTGTTACATTCATAATTTTCTTTTGTACTGTTTTTTCCTCTTAATAGGTATTATAGCTGCAAATGTCTTTGTATTCTGTTTATGGAGGCTGCCTGGTATGCGACGGATTATGTTTACATATTTCACCTCAGATCCATCCTCCAGTAAGTGAACGGTAATTTGGGAGACTTCTCTACATTGGGATGTAATAGAATCTCTGATTGTACTGCAAAAGCTTCGGATGGCACAGAGCTTACTTGCAGCTCCATCACCCACAAGCAGTCTCAGTCATGCCCAAATACATCATTTTGTCTAGACAGAAAATGCTTCTAGGGGAAAAAAGTTAGAAGTAATGGATTAAGAAAAAAAACCTCACTAGTGCTTTTCTAAATATTGTAATGTCAAAACTGTTGCCTGCTATCTGGCCTTTTACTGCGTTCAGTGGGATGCAGCTCCTGCCTTTGTAAAGGTGAAGAGGCACTTCTCTAAGTGGTATCACTGCTTTCCTGGACAGAATGCTAATCATGCCAGTCTTTGGGAAAGAAGAAAGTAAATCGTACTATGTAATGCCATTCAAAAAGTAGTCTCAAATGTGATTTTTTTTTTTCTTCCTGTAATGTTCTGTGGGATGCGGCTAGAACAGTCATCACTCACATGTATGGGCGCTTTCGTCAATAGACAAGCATTAGTCTGTATGTTATGTACGGAGTCCTTGTTTCAAAGCTGTGCTTTGGGTCACATTAAAAAAAAAACCAAACACAAAAAGACTTGGCTTTCACTCTGTGTGAAATATTTTGAAGAGGTTAACGTAGGAAAGCAAGTTACTAGTATTTAATGGCAGAACAATTAGTTTTCATTTCTACAGTAGAGAAAAGAATTAAAAGGATGAGGCAAACGTGCGTTAGGAGAGCACTTTCTGCTATCCTCTTAATTTCTGCTGAAAAAGTGGAAACTCAACCAATTCCCCACACACGCTCCAAAGCTAAAGATAGCTATTACCCAGATCTGAGCATCAGTCACCCCAAACACTCCTGTTTTAAATAATGTTGACCTTTAAACCTGCTAATTGGCTTTTTTGCATTTTCAAGGCTGCTGTTTCAGTGAGGAGAGCTAGTAGCTTTTTGAAAACAAGTTTTTCTTTGAGTCCATGTCCGTAGCAAAATAATTTTGTATAGATGTTCATATAATATATTAAAAATCTTTCACCATATACATATATAAATAAAATCTCTTTTTTCCTTTCCAAAGCATAGGAGACGTATCATAAGATAAATGTTTTATATGAAACATTCCCCAGTAGATAATTAAGACTTTCTAAAGTAGCTGTTTGTACAGCTTGCATATCTCTGGGGTATATCTTCTACCTTTCAAAACGTATTGCATGGAATTTGAAATTTGTTACGTTTCTGGGTTTATTACATAGCTTGTATTTGAGAATTCTAAGCATAATTAGCCTATAGTATGTCTTGATAAATTTCTAGTCTGCATGACATGTAAGTTGAAGCAAATTAAAACACTGACTTTTTTTTTCCCCATTGTTTTTCTCTTTTGTAGGAGCCCTGTGTTCTCCCATGCTGCTCTCTACATTTAGTCACTTCTCTCTATTCCACATGGCAGCAAATATGTATGTTTTATGGAGTTTTTCTAGCAGCATTGTCTCTCTTCTGGGATGTGAGCAGTTCATTGCAGTGTATCTTTCTGCTGGTAATGTTAAATATATATATTTACAACACTTAAAAAATATATATTCATGCAAGTAAAGCGTGTACATGGTTAATAGATGTATGATGACAGATGGCCATCGTTCAATCCCACACATTGCTCTATATTAGCTGCAGTACTTATTTGCTGTCATACAGAATTTTGATGGGTTTAGGATATTTGGCTTCAAAATATCATGACAATGCAAGTATCTGGTTTTAAGTCATGCTTAGCCACCAAAACACAATAGCTCTTAATACAGCCTTATGGGAGTTTCATGGGAAGAGATGACAGTTAATTCAAGTTAAAACAAACACTGTCCCCCCCTGCCCCCCCCCCCCAAAAAAAAACCCAAACAAAAAAACTGAACCACACCACCTACACTAGCTTCTTTAGGAAGAGGTACAGATAACGTTGTACTTTCTGATGCTTGTCTGCATTGCTGTCATTGTTTCCAATAGTAATTTTTCCTTTCTAGGGGTTATCTCCACTTTTGTCAGCTATGTTGCTAAAATGGCCACTGGAAGGTTTGAACCATCCCTTGGAGCTGTAAGTATCTCAGAATATGAGAGACCTTACAATGATCTCTGTCGCCATTTTCAAAGCCTGCTGTATTCTTTAACCTGCTTAAAAGCCAAGAATATATTTGGGATAGTGGAAACTAGGAAAGTTTACCAAAACCAAATAACCAGGCACCGATTCCTGTGTAAGAACTTGCATATTCTTCAAATACGTTAACTCTTGTAGCGACAGCCCAGAACTAATACCACTTAATGCTAATGGCTTGTAAATGAGTACTTAACAGCAGGACCTCTTGTCACTGAGCAGATAGTTCAGTTCTACAACTTACTTCATAAATGTTATTGCATAATTGTGTATCAGTCTTCTCTAATTGAAAATAGAGTACTTTAGAAAGAGATAATGTAATCGGACAAACAAAATCAGTGTGTGATACTAGTGGAAGTTTTAGGGCATGCTGTGCAGAAAGGGCAGCACTCCTGCAAAAGTCTCACAGTATGAAAGATATGAGGCAGCCTGAGGAGGTGTTGTGGTTGTCTGTTCTTTACAAGTATTTTTAGTAGTAGAACGTTTTAAAACACTTAACTTGCTGTAAGTTTGAGGCTATAACAGCTATTTGCCAAGTTTTAAAGGCTTCTGAACTTACTTTACTAAATAATTTTGATAAAAGCCAAAAGTCAGATTCTTATTTCTCAATTGGAATGAAAAAAATCTGTTGAGCCGTCCCTAAGTTAGAATTTTTGGTAGTGCTATGTATTGTCCCTTTATCTTGTGAATAAACTATATCTGGAGCAAGTTACTTTCCATTAGTCTTATTGAGCTGAACTTACTGAAATTGTCATACGTTGCATTAGTTTACTGTATTCACAGCCTTTCCATTGAGATGTTTCATGGATACAAAAGCCCATGGTCAATTTAGTACAGACCAGGGAATTGCTTGTTTCATTGACAAAAGATTTCTTGTCCCTGTCCATCTGTTATTTTCCTTGTTTTGGTACAAGCTTCAGAATGATTCCCTTCATCCGAGATGTCTGTGTTTGATTAATATATGTTAGATTTCTAGGGTTTACTGGGGGGAAAAAAGCACATTAACATAAATTGTTAAATAAATCTTAAAAAACGGGGAGGGGGCGGATTTCTTAATTACATAAGAGCATCTGAGGGGTATTTTTTTTCCCCAGTATTTATAATTTCAGATATTGAAATTAAATAACGGTGTCTTGTTTTATTTTTATTCTGAACTTTGCTGTGGTGCTTTGTACTTTGAGGTTTACCACAGGGTTGCGTTTGAAAATAAAAGCCAGAAGGAAAACAGGTTTCTTTAAATATATAATAATATATAAAAATATATCTTCCCTTATGTAACAACTCGGCTTACTTTCACATATTTTAATGTATTTACAGTCAGGAGCTATAATGACTGTCCTAGCAGCCGTATGTACAAAGATGCCAGAAGCAAAACTAGCCATCATATTTCTTCCAATGTTCACATTTACAGCAGGAAACGTAAGTGCCTTTGAACTTCAAAGAATTTCTACTCTTAAAACATTTTTCCATACCTCTCTAGTATCTGAGCATGTGTCCTCTTCATTTGTGTTTCTAAGCTGTTACATTTATTTTGAAAGACAGTACAGGTCATGGAAGTCCTGGAGGCTGATTCTGAATTGTTGCAGCCTAGCACAGTCATTGCACAAGTGTGCAGTGAATTTAGAATTATCTTAAATTCCATCCTCCATGGGTCTATTTCAAATCTGATACTAAGAGGTGAAAGAAGTTAGGAGGGACTCTGGTTCACCTGTCTGAGGAAACGTGCATACACATACTGTTCTTTCTGGTGGGTGATATTTTTTATAGCAGCACTTGTTACAGACTACTCTAATACTGATACACTCTTTTTGAAGAAAAACTTACCAAGATGGGAAGAACAGAATTTCCCTTCTCAAGGGAAATAACATTCCAGCCCTGGAGGAATACCTGCCTCCTCATTTGGATATCATCTTTTGATACTTTCAAGAACACTGTTGGGATTAGAAATAAAACTACTGAGGCTTTTCTTCATGTGTAGTACCAGCACTCCTTTTTTTGTTTCATTAAGTTCTTTTAAGCACATCCACTACCCCATTTAAGAAAAGCTTCTCATGTATATCTTGACATACTTTTAATAAGTTAATAATCTTTGGTCCACTACTTAAAGTTGTTTTACTTAAAGCAGTTAAGCTTTGTCATTTCAAGATCATGAGATTTAATATTTTTTGTAAGTGAAGCTTACAGATTTGAACAAGTGTTCTTAGATGTAGCCTTCATGTTTTTCTTGCACTTCTGCTTGAGTGGACCTGGTTTTTTGCATGCTACCCTTTAACTGCATCTTTCCTAAAAAAGATGGCCAGGGTAGAAATATTGGCAGAGCCACAGAGAGCATTGCCATGAGGAAGTACTCATTGCAACAGTAAAACAAGAGCAACGTTGGCTATTGCAGTATAAACCTAAGGAATAATTTTAGCCCTACTGTATAATTGTATTTCTAAACTTCATCTACTCCTTTAGCCTACCTTAAATATACTGTAATCAGCTTTTAAAATAAACAAACCAATGTAGCAATATAGCTGCTGTTCTAACACATATGCTTAAGGAAGGAAATCCTACTTAAAGTAACATTTCATCCTAACATTAAATCTGTTGGTCTTTTTGGAATGAGGCATTTAGTAAAATTTTGCATAATGACAGTTATGGTGGTTTGTGTCTCCTGAGGATGGTATACCGTTGCTCATGCTGTTTCTGGCCATGGAGGTGTTTGCTAACATCCTGATTTTTCTACCTTCCAACAGATGTGTCATTTAGGAGAGTGTGATGATCAATTTATATCAGATACGATGACAGGGATGCTGCCCCACATGTTCCATCTGCTAGAGGGTTGTGTTTGGGAGGACAGACGCACATAAATCTAAGCTATGTCAGAATTAGTGAATGAGAATGTTGCAATTATGTATTTTGTGGTGTCTTTTATAGCATGTATTCTTCCAAGTAACTTCCTTTTTTTAATTTTCTGACCTGAGTTTGGAATATACGTGGAGCTTTAGAAATGAAGATGGGAAGAGACAGTATTTGAAAAGGACACATTCCTACCCTGCACTATTCTGTAGCTGCTCATGTCTGTATTTTGACAGCACAGTACAGCTAAGGACCGAGTCTGTTGTTTTAAGACTTTTTTTTTTTACAGTGACTGCTTTGATACAAAATTTATGGGATTTTTTTTTATCCCAAATTTTTGCTCTGTGCCAGAATATGAAACTTCTTCTATCAGTGGCCATTATATGCTGTGACTGATCCTGTCCATTCCATGTTCTGTTCCTTTCCAGGCTTTAAAAGCCATAATTGCATTTGACACTGCAGGGCTTGCTCTGGGCTGGAGACTTTTTGACCATGCTGCACATCTTGGAGGAGCTCTCTTTGGAATGTAAGTTTGTATTTACTAACTTCCGTTTGTTTCATATTTAAATTCATCCTATATTTTTTTTCCTCTTTACTTCCTCTTATCTCTGAAGCATGGGAGTTTTCTGGAAAGTTGTCTTAAGTAGCATTGAAGACAACTTGCTGTTATCCTTGTAGTGCTATAAAATTGTGTGGAAAATACTGTTAACAGATGCTTAGAACTGAAAGAAATTGAGCTGAACTGCCTTCGCATGATAGATTAGATGTCAGATTGTCCTGTCACCGTAACCTGGGCTGGCTGTCTCTGTCCTGCTCTCCCCAGCACATTGAAGAGAGACACAAGGCAGAAAAGATTCTCACAAAACACAGCATGGACAAATTAAAATAACTTCAGAATTAAACAGCTAAGAAAATTTCTTTGTCTCGGTGTTTTTCCCCTAATTGGCGATTTAGAGAGAGCTACAAAATTAGTATAAGCTCAGGCCAGGTTCCTTTGAGCAGCCTCTACTGCTGTTTCTCAGTGTTGCTGTGTTGTCTTTGTGTGGAGCCTTCCTAATTGGGAAGAACTACTAGAAATCAGTTTGTAGGAAACAGTTCTGCATTGTTCCATGTTTGAACTACATTACCTAATGAGTTTTTCCCCTTCTACTCGATTGCAATGTTGTCTTTATTTGCACACTTATTGCTAAGAGCATTTTTAAACATTTTATGTAGGCATTTGAAAAGCCTACCTGAGATTAGGCCAGACAAAGAACAGGTGGAGGACACATTTTGGTCTACGCACTGGTTTGCCTTTGTTTGCTATTTCTTGGCTTTGGTGTCAGTAAGTTCTGTGCTGCAGCCTCCTCTCCTCCCCTTCTCTGGCATCACAAATGCATTTGATGTAGCCTTGCTGGTTTGTAACTACTTTCTGTCGTGATGCAGCAGATCAGCTTGTTCACTATAATGCAGATTCACATATTATTAAAAATAGGATAGCAGTTGCAGTAAAAATTGTCTTGAGTTGACAAGTACCTTGCCTTCTTCACCTACATATGTTCTACCTATATGTTCTACTCTGTGATCATTTTGGTCACTTCATCCTAAAACAGGGCCTCTATTTAGGACATATGCTGAATGGACGAAGTATTTCCTATACATTGCCTCACAGACAACTGTCCGCTTTGGAAAGTGGCTATATGATTTAAAGGAATGGCCAGTTTACCTAGCGATGGCTGATGGCTCATATAAAAGCACTTTTGTTTTTCAGGACGCAGGTGTGAAGTTAGGCTTGTGGGAGAACCTTCAACTTATTTCCATGCGGTTGCTTCCCCTCCCGCCTCTCCTCTCCACCATAATCTCCCTTGCTGAATCACTTACGTTTATTCATATGTCGGCATATACAGTTCTCTCTGAACATAAATTAAGCTAGAACACTTCGATGGAGTAAATCTTCATTTAGATGTTTATAGAAGAAAATTCACTTTGAATGGAATGCGGCTGTTCATTATGGGGCAGTTGTATTTACATATGAGAAAAATATTTCTACTTGGTGTTGTCATTAAGGATTAGCACAAGCAACAGTACTGTTTTAACACTCTCAAATGGAAATAGTTTTTTGCATCTTTTTAAAGTAGAAATCATGAGAGCATGGAATTAAAGGCATGAAAACCATTCATTCTCAGGACCGAGACAAGCAAGAACACAAAGAAGTTAACCGTTAGGAGTCAAGAGAACAAGTGGCTTACCTGCCACTGCCACTTTCCAAGAACGTTTTTCTTTCTGCCTCGGTTTATCTTGTCTCCTATACTAAGCATTTGAGTTACTTGATTTTAGTGATCAGCCTGCTCCTCAGATACAGAGAAAAGTTGCAGTTAGTTTTAACTAGTATTTTCTTTCGCAGGTGGTACGTGACTTATGGCCATGAGCTCATATGGAAGAACAGAGAACCACTGGTGAAAGCTTGGCATGAAATGAGGACAAAGAACACAGGAAAAGGAGGAGGTGGAAGATCTAATTGATACTAATCCTAGAGATTCCTTGTGCCCAAGCGGTATATTACTTGAAGACATGGGATTGAATTGGTTTTGAAGGTTTTTTGCTATTCCACATTAAGCCTCTAAGGAGCTGAAGTTTCTAATGTAAACCACAGTTACAAAAATGCCTATCAATAGAAAGTGAACTCTGACAAAGGTGGAACAATAAAGGTTTTTATCCTATTGCTCTCTGAGGTAACAGTCTGCATTATGTTTTTTAAAGGAGGAAAAAAAAAAAAGCTTTCCAATGAAGTGACCAAAAACTCTGTCCAAAAAACTTCAAAATGGGGTACAACTGGTTAATATTTAGGAAGATAAACACTTTTAAAACTGAGGAAGTTAATGGATCAGGAATTCCCCTAATGTCTGCCAAACAACACTAGGTGCTTTGCTAGAAGGCACACTTTAGGCAGATTAGCCTCATGTTGAGTCCAATGTGGTAGGTGGTCTTTATTGTTGAAAAGACTGGACGAGATAAGCCAATGGTCTCTTTTGATCTTAAACTTGAAATACATGAAGCAATACTGGATTGTTTGCCAAAGCTTACATAGTGGTTAATGGTCCAGCTTTGTTTATCAGCTGTGGCTTATTCAACTTATGTTTTTCATTTCTATCTGTTTCCAAGATGCTGTCACATCTTATTAGAATTTTCTACAGTATCTTTTTCATAATTACATGCAGTGGAAGAATGACTTACACTGTGGGTTTGGGTATTTTACCATGAGTTACGCTGCTTTCTATATTCTTTCACTGTATTAATCTTTTAAAAAAAAAAAAAAATTGTGCTGTATTGCTAGTTTCCTTTAAGGTTTTTGTAAGAATTTTAGAACAGTAACATTTGGTTCCGAACCTGCCAGTTCTAGAAAAATAAGCAGCTTCAGCAAAAATAGGTGAGGTGCCTGAGATCAGCAACGCTGTGACCAGAAGTAATTACTAAAGTAAACCTGAGGGTGGTACCACCACCAATGTTCCTATTACACAAATAAAACCAAAAATTGGATTTTGGGTGTGCTGGTACTCTGTGCCTGTCCTGCAAGGATTGACTACCAAAACACCTTGCAAAGGGCTGAGGAGCCTGCCCAGATAAGAGCTGGTGGGTTCAAACCCTTAACTCTGCCCTGTAGGCTGAATTAGTCATTCCAGATGGACTGTCTTGGCAAAGAACACGTTGCATCTGTAAGAAGCAACTTGTGCCTTTTTACTTTACAACAGTGCCTTGCAGAAAATACATTTCCTGTAAGGATAAACAACACATAATGCTAAATGGCACCAGTTGTAATAAATGATGGAATATAAAATTGTTCTAAACTCCCTTACTGCCACAGGCCAGTGCTCAAGCCTGAATTTTTTTCTCCCTTGGAAAATGAGACACTTGAGGATTTGTTCCTTTAAGTGCCTGTCGACTTAAACACTTAAAAAATGAAAGAGCTGGAGTATCTAACACTCCTTTGCTCTGCTCCAGAAGCTTTCTGGCTTCCTGTTTCTAATCTGTTACTTCTCCTTTCCTACTTCCTTCTCTGTTACTCGGGACAAGCGTGCCAGTTTTTAGGGCTTCAGCCACAGTGCAGCCCTGCCTGCAGCAGAGGGCAGCCGAACATGCAGCCTGACACACTGCTGCCAGCAGCGGCCACCTCCCGCGGGGGCAGGGAGAAGCCAGCAGCATCAGAAGATGGCCACTGAACAGGCTTGTCGTAAGGGAGTATTTCATGCCAAAGAAGCTCAAAAGCCATAGCTCACAGTATTTTGCATGTTGATTTTGCACCTATTTAACACTTACCTGTTGTCTTTGTCCACTTCCTTTTATTTTTTCGCTTTCTTTTCCTTGTGTTACCTCTTGTCCACTCAACACCTTCCCTAGTGTCTTCAACACTTCTGTATTTGCTGAGGGTTTTTTAGAGACCTGTCTGAAAGCAGCAGAGAGTAATATTGCAGGAAATGCAGCTTATAAACCCTGAAGGACAACATTATATTTTATAGGTCTAGAAGAATAAGCCAAGGTTACAATTAAGTTCTTCACCATAGTAGCCAGTGCCTACCTCAAAGTTTGAAAGTCACGCCCCTGTATTGCTTGCAGACACTGGAGTCCTGCTTTCATGGTCTGCTAGACCTGCTAAGGCAGTGTGGTATTGCTGCACCCTTTCAGCTTGTAGGAAGGGTGCAGATGGGCACAGAGACGTTTTCAGGCTGACCCTTCAGAGGCAACGCCTGCACATCTGCTGGATTCTCAGAGTTACAGGGGCTCAAAGCTTCTGAAAAACCCGCCTGGAACTGCCAGAGAGGTTTGGAAGTCTTTTCAAACATGCGGTTTGAGGGTCTCATGCCTAAGTTTCACCTTAGCTTTAGGCCTAACAGCATTCACCCTTCTAAAGGCTGTTCAATACCTGATATTCTCTCATTTGTAGAAACCCTAGAGGTATTTAACATATGTAAGGTGGTATGAAAACATTCACATGGCCAAGCAGTGTGTTTCATATCACTTTGCACCTGAGCCTTTATGCAGCATTGTCTGCCAAAGGTGAAGTATCTTCTCTGGTCCAAAATGACTTTCAAATGCAATAGGAAAGTCAATGCTTAGTCAGAGAAGGAATGGCCCAGAGATATGACAGCTCACTAGAGTAAATAAGATAACTTTCTGGCAAGCAAACACCCTTCTTGCAAAACCTGGCATCGGTATATGCCAGTATCTCAGTATTTAGTCACACCTTTGAATGGCAAATCAGAAGAATAAAAAAAAAAACAAAAAACCAAACCCCAAACTCAGAAAAAACAACAACAAAAAGAACGAACCACCTAAAACAAAACTAACCACATGGAAAGACTTTTTTTCCCCTTTTCAAAGAGCTTATTATTGCGAATAAAAATACAATGTGGTGGTTATGTGGATGCTTGGCAGAGACAGCAGCTAGTGTTTGTGTAGGAAAATAGCAATAAGTATAAAGTCATGGTTAATCACGTAGAGACAACCCTTCATCCCTTTTCAATGGCTTTAAGAAAGTGTCTCGTGGCCTTGCCATGTTTAAGGAATATTTTGCTTCAGTATAGTGATCTACTCTATTGAAATTTCATTTATAGTATTAGAACAAACTGTCTGTTTGAGCTTTCAGCCCCCATTCCTGGCAGCCACAGCTGTTTTGCTTTCTGATTGGATGGCTTGCCTTTGTCTTAACTGTTGCAGTATGTCCCTCTCCCCCCCCCCTCCCCTTTAAATCATGATAAATCTCTTCTAAATGCAGATAACTTTTTAATCTCATCCAGCTTCTGGTTTCCCTGTCTGAGATAGATAGCCTTTGTGCCAATTTCGTCCTACAAGCTATGATGAGCAGCTGCTGAAAGCACTCCCTGATGCTGTAGGTGGGCTCCGAGACGCGCAGCGCCAGAGCTGAAATCAGTACTAGGAAGTGCCAGGCACAGGGAGAGCAGAGACATCCAATTTATTCTCCAATCTATTTTGCTAAGCCAGGCCTAGGAACAAGGATCAGAGCATCATTTGTACTGTGCCGGTGATAACAGATGATAGAGCGGATATTCTGTTTTTTCCCATGACTGTAAAATCCATTTCTCTTTACCAGGGTAAAGTGTTGTACATTTCACCCAAATATGATTTATTTTTAAAAATTACTACGTAGAGCAGAGTAGTTCTAGAAAAAAAGAGCAGCAGAAAATTAAGAAACGTCTCCCCGCATATTCCTAAAAGTAAAATTACATTTGTGGGTTTTTCAGGCAACAAATGAAACGCAGGATCCAATATCCCATATGTTATTGTGTCAAGACTTCTGTGTGGGACCAAAATGTTGTTACCTGAAATTTCCGAGTCTCCTTGCCCTAACTGACATGTGGGGGTGGGGCGGGCAGTAGCGTGAAATCAAAACTGCTAGTAGCACCAGCAAGTGCCAAATCAGATATTTAGGACAACAGGATCATCTGCAAAGGAATTTCTTTCTATCCCTTGATAACTGTGTCTCAAAGAGAAGCCAAACACTCAAGGAGAGGTTCTGCCTCAGTCCATATCCACATTTCTAGTCCTCCTCCCCACCAGAAGCAGGTGCCAATCTGGACTGAGGTCTAGGAGGTGCTAATACGCTACAGATACTGCTTTATTTCAGCTGAGCAGTCCGTAAATCTTAGCTTTTCACGTTCTATTGCATAATTATTTTCTTATTAGATCTTATCATATAACCACCTGTAACTAGATTACTACATTCTAAAATGAGGTACCGATCTAGTTAGCCTTTAAACAGATGATTTTCTAATAGGTGGCATCCCAGTTTATCTGCATTCTTCACTTTTACAGCCTTATATTTCATAGTTTGGTGACCTGTTGGGAGACTCAGCGTCTTCTGTCATAACACACTGAATGGGGAATTGTGGAGGAGCATTATGGCCTGTAGCCACTCATTACATAAGACGTCAAGTTTCAAAAGCCAGACTTATCCCCGATGTAATTCTGTCAGCTTCAGTGGTTTGCGCCAGGACCGTTTGGTTTTGAACGTGAACGTACAAAGAAAAGCTGTGGTTTCCAGTCTCTGGCAAACAGTAAATGATGTGGATCATATATAATAGACACTTGGATTTTCGTCAATAGGTAGCCTTTTAAAAGCGAAGCGGTTAAACCGTTAATATAAATGAAGGAGGGGGGGTAT